TTTTAAATATTCACCGACCGTCAAAAGAAGTTTATATGAATTTTTGCCGTACAACTTCTGACAGAGTAGCGAAAAAAAAATATAAATTATAACATGACGAGACAAAATATGGCAATCGTCGACAATAATATTATGAAATCGTGATTCCAATTTTACACATCTGTTGACATTGATCGAGTGTTTTATCTTTTCTTTCATTTGTCTCTTGCATCAAACAGCATTTTACACTCATTTGCAACTGATATTTCGTTTTACACCAATCATTAAACTGCAAAATTCAAGCTCCGCCTTTTTCAAATCCGCTGATGTTATTTCTCTCTATATACAAGGATTGTTTGAATTAATGAAGTGGAAGACTTCTTTTCCTCGAGTTGTATGTGGTGGGTAACGAGTGGGTGGGATGTTCATTTGAATATATACCAGTAAATATTGAAAGAGGACCTAAAAATTTGGCGACGAGAAAACAGCGGCCAACAACATATTCAAAACAACGACAGGTGAGTTTATTCTTTTTTTCTTTTCTTTTTTTTTTTAACATTTATATAAGTTTTTACAAGTTCGAATTTTAAAATTAACCTGCTGCCATTTGGAAAAGTTGCAAGATACCTTGGAGATTGATTTTTATTTCGTCAAACCCGGTAAGTTCCTTTTATTTATCCGATCAACGTTCAGCATTTTTTTATTCACAATTCAAATAGCATTAGCTGCTGGTGGTAATCGTTAATAACGTGAATTAATATAAATTGCTGTTTTAAAAGGGTTGATCATTTTGTGACAAATAATATTAAACAAATCAAAATAGCTGAATTTATTTGACATGGATTTTTATTCATTCCGAATGAAAGATATTGTCTACCCCTAAACTGTAGCAGTTGCGTTTTTTTTTTTGCGTAAAATCTTAAAAATGAAACCCTGAAAACAAAATGTCCGATTTTAGGTTGCTTTTCTGAATTTAATTTTTTTTGTAAAATTGTGCTGTTTTTTTGTTTTGTTTTGGTTTTTTGTTTTGTTTTGTTTTTTTTTTTTAGATAAAAAAAAAGAAAAAAATAGCGTGAAAAGTTCTCAACCCGACCAAGAAACACTTCGAAAAAAAATTCTGATGTTTTGGTCATTTGGTCATATGTTTGGAAAAGGATCGCGCCGAGAAATTTACACCACTCTCTTGTAATGATTACGATAAATTAAAGTTTTGACGTAATTGTTTAATAATTTCTGTTCGTAATATCACGAATTACATTGTTAGTTCGGTGCATTTACGTGATGATTTTAGTGATTAAGTGATCATTCCCTGTCGCAGATCGCGTACCAGACCATATAAAGCAACACTAGGAAATCGATAATTCTATGCTATTAAGATTGTTTCTTCTTAACTCCAATTACTGTACACCTTTCTGACTGCATCTGAAATGTAGGAATGTAAAAAAAAAAGCAGTCGAGTAAACAGTTAATTCAATATTTATATTTTGAATATTAAAAACCAAAGTTTATTATTGTTTTGCTTTTACAGAACTTTCCAATATGTATACACTCTTGGCTACCATGCTGTGGTCACTCATTTTTACAAGTTTGGCTGCCACAACGTCACGACCAAGTAAGAAATTTTCTTTTAATTCTGTGTAATGAAATAGTCTCAATGCAGTAATAAAGCGTAAAGAGCTGAAGATTCAGGAATTAAATAATAATTGCAAGGAAATGTTTAGATTTGAACTCAGAGTTAACGATAATTAACGCGTCGGTTTTAATGTTACAGCCTCTCTCCGAGGAACCTGTTAGATGACTCTGCTGAACTGAAGCGGGACAATCTGTGTTGCTTAAGAAAAGTGTTCTAGACATTACAACAGATTAAGCCATTAATGTCCACTGTCCTCAAGATGGCATTAATGATCTATAAATAGAAAGCATTAATTAATACCGGAATTTTTAATAAACCTATAATTAATAACGATTTTTACAGGCTTTAATTAATATCGATATGGCACAATTGGCAGCTGATTTAAAAAATGACCTACAATCTGTTGTTAACAGGGGCAAGGAATGGCTTGTTAATTTTAACGCCCCCAAAACGAAACTGCATTCTTTGGTCGTCTGAGACAACCCCTTTTGCTTTCTACCAGCATGGCTGATGCTAACCTCCAGGAGAGTGACTCATTGCGCCTTCTCGGATTAATGTTTTCCACTGACATGAAGACGAATGATTATATTGAATCAATTGTTCGGTCTGCTCCTAGAAAAATTGGTTCACTGTGTTATGCTAGAGAATATATCTTACATATTTATAAGTCTGCTATTCGTTCATGCTTTGAATATTGCTGCCACATCTTGTCTGGTGCTTCTGCTATGTATTTAGAGACTCTTGATAATATACGAAGAAAAATCTGCAATGTTATTCGTCTTGAGTTTGCATCTCTGCTTCAGTTACCTTTTTCACCGTAATGTAGCTTCCCTGTGCCTTTTCTATAAATACTTTCATGGTAATTGTTGTGATGAACTTTCCTCTATGGTACATAGACTTTATAAATTTAAGCATATTGGCGGCAAGGTCCCATTATTTCACAGTTGAAATGTTTAGATATAACCGTAAGTTCTATGCTAATAGTTTCTTCTCCCGCGCTTCTGGAATTCTCTTCCGGTTTCTTACTTTCCAGTCAACTTTGATCTTCAAATCTTTTATCTTCTGATTTCTTAATTCCTGTGTTTTTATTGTTCTCTCTCCTTAATAATGTTTTTTTTCTTTTCTCACATTCTCTCACATTCAGCAACCCCCCTTGCGTTTTAGTAACTTTATTGCCATGCTTGGGGCGAAATGATTATAAAAATTACTATTTTTTTTTATAATGAAAAGAAGATTTTTTTACTGCGAGCCTTAATGGGTTAAACATACAGGTAAAATTTCAGAAAATCTCAAGTAGATTTAGTCAAAACATTTTTAAGAAAGAATTGTAAAATAACTATAATTGATTTTGAATTATTAATTATTTATATTGGTAATAGAGTCAACAGCCATGATTGGTCAAAATTCAGTGTATTTTCTGGGCAATGAGAAAAGCTTCAGATATCGAAAAGAATCTATCTATCAATTCGTTATCTGATGTCAATGTTTCCGAATCGAAGAAACTTCAAATACCCTAAAGGATGAGCAAATGATTACTTGCAACAATTTTCAATAAATTTTAAACACTCACACCGAATTCTTTAGATAGAACTCAGGTCTACGTGCAGTTAGATTGGTTTCCAACATTGCAACAGTCAGTGAATAAGTGACGTTGCCTCGAGTGATACCGGTAACCTTAAGTAGTACTTTTCAAGTATTTCTGTGCCAAGGCTTGTTCTTTTAAGGGATATTTCTGAAGTCACTCTCTACTAACAATGAGACACGATTCTTGTTCGCATTATAAAACCAAAACCTCTCTCAATAGATGTGTTTGTCGATATAAAAGAATACACGCCAATCTTGCAAGAAGCCAAAGAATTTATCTGTAGAATATATTTTTTTATCTTCCTCAACTTAATTATTAAGCTCAATATTCAGTTGCGATAGCGTAATAATCGCTTCTTTACCACAGGCGTCGGTTACTTTAGGCTTATCTTTTTTACACCACGAAAGACAGATAATCACGAAACGAGACGGCTTTAGCATCCACGGCACAAGTAGATAGACAACCTCTAAAATTATTGACGCAACTTTTGATTTGATAACACTTGAAATCTTCAATCTCTAACCCTCTAGATTCGAAACGATACCTTACAGTCCATTAAATTACGTGTGAGTAAATCCTACCACGATTTTAAACTGGTATTCCAGTAGCAGCTGACAATTGACGAAGAAAAAGATATAAAGTAACAGCATTCAGTATATGGTCCGGGGACAGGGGAAATGACGAAATAATGGAAAGGATAAGAATAGTCCAACGTCTGGACATACACACAAACACTACAGCCAACGCTCTCCACCTTCGCGCTGGGGTCAAAGTATAGTATCTGTTCTCTCTTCCTCTTGAGGTTACGAAGGAATCCTGGTCAAGAACATTCTAAACCTGCGGCAGCACTTTCCTTGTTGCTCTAACTAGGAGGAGTTGGTGGATAGTGACACCTAAATGATATTGGTTAAGATGACTGAGCAATTTCCTCTTTGGAAAATATGTATGCGTATTTAAATGACCATTTGTCACATCCTACCATCGTGGAGAGATGGCTAAATACCGACATCCAGCCAATGAAAAGGACTGCTATATCGACGCTTACATTTAAGCCCTCATGTAAACAAAGGTAAAAGAGTAAATATATTGCGGTAAAGAGTAAATATGTTAATGATCAACTAGACAATAATACTGGTCACGAAGATTTGTCAACGATGTTATTAATAATGTTAAATTTCACTTGCGGCTTCAACACGTTAGTTAAAACTGCATGCATTGAAAGAATAGGATTTTCCTCCTAAATACTAACTCACAAACTCTTGTTATTGCAAACTTTTTATAGAAAATGGAAACATTTCGAAAGATAGGTTTGAGTTGAACTTTTTTCATAATCGGTCATCAACTCGTTGTATTCATGAATAACTAGTATGTTTTCGTATATCAAACTTCATATTACATTTTAAAACTGTTTTAAATTCTGGTGAAAATGTTTATACAGGCTTCTCTCGATTAATGCGCACTCGATTAATGCGCACTCGATTAGTGCGCTAAAATTTTTATATACCAAAAATTCGACTAGTGCATACATAATACTCGATTAGTGCGGTAAAATATTCTTCAATTTAACCATAGTAATTGAAAACTATTTTTTATAGTTACCGAAGTACACATTAGCCACACTAATAGAGGAATTACTGTACTCTCTTCCAGAATTTATACTTTCTTTTAAGGTGTCTATTTTTTATTAGTTTTGTAAATTGAAAGTTCACCGCAAATTACGATCCTTATTATTTTGAAGGTTGCACTCGTCCTCTTGATGTGATATTTGTACTGGATGGTTCCGACAGTATTGACGATATCAGCATGACCCGAGTAAAACAGTTCGTCATTGATTTCGCCTCGGCTTTTATGAGCGACGCTAGCTCAACCGGCTTCGGGGCTGTCATGTACAGTGCCAATGTGGCTGGTGTGGTACCCCTCAGGTGCAACGTATCGTTGTTTAATTTCGCCCGGTCAGTTCGATCGTTGCCCCACCCAAAAGACGGAACCAACACTGATATAGGCATCAACAAGATGAGGAAGATGTTCGCTGCAAGAAGTCGACCGCGTGTGCCCATGTCCGGAATCGTTATTACTGACGGCAGATCGAAGTTACAAAACAGAACAGCCATTGAATCGCGACTGGCGAAAGCTCAAGGCATTCAAATGTTTGCAATTGGAATCGGTTATTTGATTGATAAAAAAGAGCTGGAGTCAATTGCCAGCATTGGCAACGTCATGACGGTCGCTAGTTTTCTCGAATTGCAGGGTTTGATTCATCAACTCTACCCGAAAGTCTGTCCTCGTAAGTTTATCTTTTACGTTTACTTTTAGTCTCAGAACACACTGTTTACCGGAATTATTAGGGTTGCAGCTACGGCTAATGATCAGAAATAGAAGTGTTAAGTCATAACCTTCTGGCGTCAGCTTAAACTAACACCTACTTTTTTTATATCTAAACTATAATTTTGGAAAGTAACAATTACAAATAAATATCTTTAAAAATTTCAAAGATTTCATCTGAAATCAAGAAAAACGAACAAAACGGTCACATTATATAGAAAAAAGGTGTCAGTTTAAATGACAGCGGGATGATATGGGTTTATTCAATTGATTGAAAACAAAAGTTAGGTGCTTAGGAGTATTCTAAATGTGAAGGAATACCTATTGAATATTATCACATCCCATAAATGTATATATACAATAGATAATTTAAAAACATTTGAATTAAAGAAATGTTTGATCACAGTGGATTAACTTTACCTGAATTTGTTGTCTGTCAACGAAAGAAGTAAAGTTATGTTAATTTTTTATGAGATGAAGTATTATTAATTTTTGATTCGTATTTTTTTTTCTATTAATATTGTTTGCATTTCATAAAAATAAATCAAGGGAACCGCTGTTGTGTATTAGTCGGTGTGTTGTAATAGGGGATATTAAACCATTCCTGCCAATTATTTTTGGAAAAACGTTTGATTTTCAGACGAATTTTTTTCATGTTTTTAATATAGTAACTAAGAAACTGAGAAACCCGAGTGGTGGCTAACACCTATACCAGACGTAAGAGTTGACAATTGGACTCGTTTCAAGCTCAGAAGGGCATAAAAGAGTCAAGATCGACGTATAAACACGTCTGTATCTGTTTTTTTAAGCATTATGTTTTGGATGTGTTTAATCGTACCTGTCTGAAAAAAACACTTTCGGTTAAAAAAAACAAACGTATATACACGTTTACGCCGGGGAAGCGGCTAATTGTGCAAATAAAAGTTTTCTTTTTCTTTTGGTAATCTTGCATATTAGACACCAAATTGTTTATCTATATTTTAGCATTACCAACCACAACAACAACTACGACAACAACGACCACAACAACGATACCTACCACCACCACCACCACCACCACGACACTCGCACCAACAACCACAACAACTACAAAACCACCACCTTCACCGTCAACCAACTCTGCCACCTTAATGGCTATTCAGAATACCGAATATCCTCCACTTGAACATGCACCCGATGGAATCTGTGATAAATGTGTGATTGTCAACGGGGTAGGTTATACCAACCACCCAACTGACTGCTCTCTTTATATTCAATGTTTCTTCTTAAAGACTACAGTCAAGAGTGTCATCCGGGGATGTCCGTTTGGATTGTTCTGGGATCAAAAGGAACTCACATGTAAATCTGCATGGCAAGTTCAATGCAAAACAGGTGAGTAGAACAATTGAGATTTCCTTGTAAATCATTATATAGTTTATTTCCGGTGTTTTCTTGAAATATTTCATATTCACGAGATGAAAATTTTGTATCTATGACTTTCAGGATTCTCAAATGTCTGTATTTCGATTGCTTTCGATGAAAGCCACTTCCATGATTCCGACTGTTATTTTCCATCTGTCTCTAGATATTACACTATTAAAAATGTATTCTCCGTTACGCATGTAGCTTGCATTAAAATAGATAAGATTCATTTTCAAAATTCATCATTATTAACCAAATTATAAAAATATAAAAAGAAAAATAATTTGCCAGAAATCCCTTAAAAAAATTCGCTAACAAGGGGATACATGATTAAAAAAATGACCAAAACGGAATAAAAACAAAAAAATATCGTCAAAATCTTTCAGGAAAGGTCAAAGGATTTTTGATGCAAAATTTTTTATCCTTTTTAGAGCCCTGAAATTTTTTTTGTTTTCGTCAACATAGGAGCGCGCTTTTTGCAGTGAAAAACAAATTGATTTGGAAATTCAGAATACTGTTTGATTTTAATGAAACTTTCAGGAAAATTATTCAGAAATGAATTAATTTTAAAATGTTTATTGTTTGGAAACTCTGTCATTTTTTTTTTTTTACATCTGTTACTCACTCATTTTTGTTTCGTTTAATCTAAGGAGACATCATCAGAGAATTTAAATCAACAATATTTTGGGGTCAGACATGATCCTCACTTACAGAAAATCTACCTTGAATTGTAAAATAAGAAACTTTTAATTACTTTTATGAATAAAAAATATTATGGACACTATTGCCTTTTAAAAATTTGATGAATAATGAATTTCTGCGAAAAAATTTTCCATTTTTTTAAAAAATTGTAATTAGAATATATAAACTTTTAAATCTTTTAAAATTCCGTATTAATTTAGGTGGTATGTTATGAAATTAAAACTGTATTATTCACTAATCGTAAATGGAAAAATTCATTACAATTTAACGACCCCCTTTAAAAATAATTTTGAATTTTTGTGCGTGTGTATTTTTGGAAATAGGGACATCAATAAACGACATTATCAGAAAGTAAGTGGTACCTATAATAAATTTAAAATTTATTGGTAATTTTCTAACATTTTCTGAACAAGCGTCTTCGTAAGTAAGACTATAAAGCCAAAGTACGTAAAATTCAATAAAATATTATATTGCTTAAAACATTTAAATTTTTTATAGTTAAAAATGTATAAAAAGGCGTTCACGTTGTATTCGTCATGCAATTCCTTTCAATTTTCTCGCCCTTATTTAAATTTCCCAAACATTAGGCTCTCAATGGATCACTCAACACGTCAGAAAAATCCCCCCTCTGTGTTAAAAAGAATTGCTTTTCTGCAATATTTTAAAATAAAAGTAAGTAATATTTGTTTCAATTCTGATTAATTAAACTCTAAATCATCTAATTTTCCTCAAAGAACGTTTCAGAAAGCTATATGTTATTTTTGAAAGAATTTGTTTTAGTAAAGTGAATTATCTTGTGTTGACAGATTTGTCAATATGGACGATATATTGATGTTATTGATAACTAGAAAAAATTCAGTCAATTTAAATTCGGGTTGAAATACACCGAAGTATTTTGCATATTGGAAATATTAAATTTAATCTATTAGATTGGAATCAAAGCCAAAATTAAGGCTTCAAGAAAGATTCTTCATATTTTAAAAACGCATTTTTAACTTAGGTATCACTTCTTTTCTTTTTTTTTTTTTTGAAGTACCTACTTAAAATATTGCCACGAAAAAAGATAAAATTTAAAATTATAAACTTCATAGACTATTATACAAATAATAACCTTATTCTGCTTACACTAATTATTAAAGATAAAAAGATTTTCCCACATTTTCAATGAACTATATATAAACAACAAAGTTGCCAAAAGCATTTTACACAAAAGAAAATATACAAAATTCAATGTTTAATCAGAAAAGATTTTCCTCTACTATCGTGTTCTATTACCACAAAAAATAACTAAGTCGGGAAGTTGTGGAGTAGAGGTAAAGTAAGTGGGAAGTGCGTAGTTTTGCATGAGGCCAACAGAACTATACATTTTGAACGTTATATAAATCTCTTTAGCTTCAGAGTGAGTTGTTAAGGCGAATAACAGTAATAAGTGAAATAATGCAGGCAAGAAAAAACAATAAGAAACGGATAGTTCAAAAACAGACTAAAGCGAACAGCAAATGTGATCCGCTGAGGATTGCAAAAACGACAGAAATTTGATCATGTGATAACCAATGTGATAAGCACAAAGCCAATCTTTCCTAGAGAAAAGAAAGTGTATGAAAAAGGTTCATTTGGAATTCAATCCAGGTCAAAATTCTATAGTATTTTGAAATTTAAACTGATCACACCCAAATCCAGATCTGTTAACCAAATCTAGTAATCGTTAACAAAATGGAAGTGTCTCAGATAGTGAAAAGCGATATTCCAGCAAAAAACAATAAGATAAAAAAACAAGGAAAATCTGAGAAAATAAATAACTTTTGCCGTTGCGAGAGAAGAAAAAATGTGGAATATGAAAATGATAACTATACCCACCATTATTAGCGTGCTCGGAACAGTTCTGAAGATCCTTGCGAAAGGATCAAAAGAATTTAAATAATCAAAACTATCCGGGTGGCAACATTACCAAAATTCCTGTAGAATACGAAGAAAAGTGATGAAATATTGAGATTTCTGGTCACTTGATCTCCAGAAAAAGTATCACTAGACATTTTTGTTACTTTCTCCTTTCCAAATCAAGATTAGACTTTCACTTTAATTTACATATAATCGTCAATTGTTGGCGCTGATATTTTCTTTTAAAGTTTTGTATTTTGAAAATTATTTAGTCGTTGATTCGCTTGACTGGTTTATGCCAGGCATAGTTTACTTTTTCTTTTTTTTTTCTTTTTTTTTTTTGTAAAAAAAAAGTTTGGGTTAATATGTCAGTAGATCTTCAATCACACAGCGACACGTCATTTCAGTGACGGAGTAGTAACATGATAGATTAGTTCAAATTTTATGGTTGACGTGTAGGTGAGATTTAGATGAATTACACTACAGGAACATCATATTCGTCTGACGGAAGAAAATGGACATGGAAACTAATTCATTAGATCACTTTTTAAATAGAATCGCTTTATCAATGGAAATTAATTCAAAAACGCCTCTTGTGGTTATGTGTTTGTGTATGTGTGTATGCGTGTGTTTGTGCATAAAACTATAAAGTTAAGATATGCTTGCAAGTAATCCAAAGTTAAATTACTGTTTCAAGAATGTTTGAGTTGATTTGCATTTTTAATAATTGTCTAGTGTAATTGTCTCAAAATCACATGTTCATCACACACACACACACACAACACAAATTCATGTACGCACTGTTATTATTGCTTTACTGTTTTTTTTTTATCTTTGTTTAATTTTAAAACATTAAAAAAGAAAACAACAAAGCGATATTTAGTCTAATATGCTTGGTTTGACCGTACAATTTCAAAACAATACTTTTTAACCATAATCAAATCAGTTTTTTATCTTACAAGCTTATAATAGCAAAAGTTAATTTCCCTATTTTTTGTTTGTTTTCTTTC